GTCTGGCTTTATATGGATCCTCATCGTCATTATAAGAATCATCACGAGTTATCTTGACATCAGAATAATTATAGTCACCAGCAACTTCATCATATGGTGGTGGTGGCTCATCATCATATTCATTTGAATACATTCGAGATTCATCAGCTAAGGTTTCTAAATTTACAATGGTTCTTCCTTCTTGTATTTGTTCTTGGGCCCGGACTTGGACTTGTTCTTGGGCTTGTTCTTGGGCTTGTACTTGGGCTTGGGCTTGTACTTGGGCTTGTACTTGTACTTGTACTTGGGCTTGGGCTTGGGCTTGTTCTTGTACTTGTACTTGTACTTGTACTTGTTCTTGTTCTCGTTCTTGTTCTTGTTCTTGTTCTTGCTCTTGTTCTTGTAATTGTTCTTCTTCTTCCTCCTCTTCCTCCTCTTCCTCTTCTTCTTCTTCCTCTTTTTCGTCGTCGTCTTGTATTTGCTCTGGCCGAAATATTGGTGACTGAGTTGGTGAAACTGGTTGATTAGATGTATGAGTTGAAAATTGGGGTGATAGAATAGGTGATGGGATAGGATCTGTTGGTTGATTTTGCTGAGTTTGAAGTGTTAAGGTTGGTTGAATTGGTTGCGGTTGTTGTTTTTGCTTGTTATTTGACAGCTTTTTTTGATTTGGTTGTGATTGAGGTGATTTGTTCTTATTATTTGACTTAGTTTGTAAATTTTGCTGATTTGGTGGACTTGGTTGTAGCAACGGTTGTTGTTGCGCTGGTTGTTGTTGTGCTGGTTGTTTTTGTTTTCTGTTTAGCCTGTTTTGCTGATTCTTTTTATTTGGTAGCGATTGAGGGGGGTTTTTATCATTATTTGGCCTAGCTTGTTGGTTTTGCTGGTTTGCTGGTTGCTGTGATTGTTGCTCGTTTGCCTCGTTTTGTAGATCTTGCTGATCCTGTTGACTTGGTTGTGATTGAGGAGGCGGTTTTTTATTCTTTGATTTAGGTTTTTTTGTATTTGGTGTATTCGGTTGTGTTTCTGGTGGCTGTTTCTGCTGATCTACCTGTGGTTGAGATGGTTTTTTATTCTTATTTTGTGAGTTTCGATTTCGAAGCTTTGATTGGTTTGGATTTTGTTCTGATGTAGATGTTGATGACGATGATGATAGTGTTGATGATAGTATTGATGATGATAGTGTTGATGATAGTGTTGATGATGATAGTGTTTATGATGATGATGATGATGATGATGATGTTGGTGTAGAGATAGAAGTTATGAAAGAACGTTATGCTAATCTTCCAAAGAGTGATATCATTAAATCATTAGAAAATCAATCTCCTGAACTTATCAAATTATTGAATGAATTCAAAGAAAAATTATCAATAATAAACGAGTCAACTAGACCAATAATTGACAAGTAGGTGTTGTTGATGCTACCATCATCATAATTATAATATTTAATATTTATTTTTACTAAAAATAAAAATTAACAAATAAATTTTTAGAGCAAAACAAAAAAGAATTGTTGATAATCCAATAATGGAATTTTTGTTTATAAAACACCAGACATTATTAAATTATCTTACAAATATATCATTTTATCTTTATCTTAAATCTTCTGGAACCTCAATCAATTTGTTTAAACATCCAATAACTGATGCACTTTTGGAATTGAATAATACATGGAAAAAATTGGAAAAATTAGAAATAAAAATGAAAAAATCCATTGATTTATTTATTGAAAAACTGAATGATGATAATGTTGATGGTAAGATATATACATCTTTACAATAAATTAATATTATTAATAATTAAAAATCAATAACTTGCTCGCACGTTTAATAATATATTTATAGTTATAGATTGGCAGATTGAATCAAATATTATTGAACATGAAAATCAAAGTTTTCAAGAAGAAAATGATGATGAAATTAATTCGGAAAATGAAAACAACAAATATTATGAAGAAGAATTATTAGAAAATAACTCTTCTGATCTGGACAATTCCAAACCTTCTTCTTCTTCACCAAAATTGACCCCGACAATATTAACATCCGTAGTAGAAAATGAATTCGTAAGCCTTAAAAAAAAGAAAAATAAACGCAAACTGGTAATTTATTATTTATCTTCAAATATATAATAATAAAATATATACTAATATGTATTAATATGTATTTATATATTTTTAGGAATCGACTGATTTTGGTGATTTGGATGTATTGGATGAAGTAGACGCAGAAGATAAAATTCAAAGAAAAAAATCTTTACGTTATCATGTTTCCAAAATTGATCAAGTAAATATTAATATTTATAGATTTTTTTTTTTGAAATTCATTAGAAATCTTGCAATTAAAAACAATAACAACAACAACATTGATTTTATTATTATTACTACTACTAATGATAATAGAAACTTGCTAAACGTGAGAAAGCCATTAAATTAAGTGGAGATGTTGATCTTCCATATAAAGATATAGATGATGAAAATAAAAGAAACATTAATAGTCGACTTAATAATAGTAATAATAACAACAACAATAATAATTATAATAATAATAATATGCGTTGGAACGATGATGGTAATAATGCCCTTGATGATGGTCATGAAGATGACAATGATGAATTTTATCAAAATATTGTGAAATTTAAAAAGACAAGAAAAGTTGAAAAGAAATTACAATACAATCAACAAAAAGAAGAAAACAAGTAATTTAATTACTCTCGCTCGCTCTCTTTTACAACTTATTATTTTAAATTTCTAAATTTTTATTATTTTATAATTTTAGAATTGTTTCATATGAAGATGACACACTTCCAAACGGCACTAAACGAAAAATCAACTATCAAATTTACAAGAACAAAGGTCTTATGCCACATAGAAAGAAGGAACAACGTAACCCGCGTGTTAAACATCGTAATAAATACGTTAAAGCAAAGAAAAAGATCAAGAGTATTAAACCTGGTGTTATCAAACAAAAAGGATTTTATGGTGGCGAAAGTACTGGTATTAATGCTGGAATATCAAGAAGTGTCAGATATTCGTAATACTATTTATTATTTTATACTTTTTATTTATGAAACTAAAACTTTATAATAAATATGAAACTTGATCTGTCTAAAAAAATTTCCTTGATCACAAAAAAAAAAAATCAATTCTAAAATGCAATTTATTGAAATAACTCAAATTCTTTATAAAATGAAAAGATATAAGCTATTATATATATTAATATAGTAGTAATAGTAAGGCGGAAAATTTTCTGACGCAAAATTTTGTCAATTATATGCAAGTTTTTACGCGAGTTTGTAACAATGGTCACGTTCGAAAAATTTCCCCGTGTTATTCATAACCCTATTACTATACTTAATTGAATCAAATTGGCCCTTATTCATACCATCTAATCTCGCGTACATTTTTATATATAACAAAAAACGAGATTCAAATACTACTAGCAGATCAAATTTAATTTTTTTGAAAAAAAGTAAAGTTGTCATGGATTTTGGTTCAGATGAAGAATTTTTTCAACCCGCAAAAAAATATAATCCTTCAAAAAAATCGCCTTTATCATCAACGTGTTCTTCAAAAAACCATGCTGAAACTGAATTCAATAATAATGATGATGATGAACGAAAAAGTGTCATTTCACAGACACAACTGCTTCAAGAATCAACAAAATCTCATTCTGGTAAGTTTTTTTTACTTCAATTGTTAATGAACTGCAAAACACTTTTTGGAATATCGTGGCAAAGATTAATATTAAAGGGATAATAAACTAATAAGATCCTAAAAGTTCTTTTTTAATTTTTTAATAAATTTTTTGATTTATTTATATTATTAAAATAAAAGAAAATGTTGAAATAATCTCTACTACAAATGACATTAACACTAACACCATCATCAGCACTTCAGCATCAGCAATTCTTAAAAAATTACTTGAAAAGAGAAAAAATAAAAAAGATCTCTCTCTTTCAAGAAAACAAAACATTCCTTTACAAAAAAAGGATGCACCTCTAAAAAATTCACCTGGATTTAATTACCAAAATAAATCAGAATTATCTTGTTTGACAATTTCCGAACCTCAAATTCTTGGTGGCACTTCTAATTTTAATATTAATACAATCTCAACAAAATTAGACACTTATTCATCATCATCATCGTCGTCGTCATCATCATCATCATCATCATCACCATCATCATCATCGTCACCATCATCGTCACCATCATCACCTTCTTGCAATGATAATAAAAATTTGATTCATGTTAAACAAGTTCTTATAAGAAATGAAACATTTTCAACAATTGATATTGTTGATCATAAAAATATGCTTCCTATTACTACTAATGCATCTGTTAACAATGGTCTTCAGGAATTAAAAATTTCAGGTGAAGATCAAACAGTCTCTTCTACTGTTACAACTTCTGCTGCTGTCATTGTCACAATCACAGCTAATGCTACAACTGCAACTACTAATATTTCTCCAACTGGCAATCACATTTCACTCCTTGACAAACGTAAAGCTAATGATGATGTTGATCAGGAAGAAAATTTCACCTCATTACCAATTGATGTTCCAGGTGTTGAAAAGAGGAAAAAAATGGAACATTCGAATGAGAGTGAAACATTGCCAAAACTAACAAAAAGGCCCAGGATTGATAAAAAGTCAAATGATAAAAATTCTTTTGCTGGTACTGAAATAACTTGGCTATCAAAAGCTAAAGTTTGTCCTTATTGTGACAAGAAGTGGGCTTGTAAAACAGATAATGTTAAAAATAGAATTGCTCACATGAAAAGATGTGGCAAAAAACTTAAAATCTCACCTGCAGATATGGTTACAATAGTAAGGGAGGTGAAGGAGCAGATGAGTCAGAATAATAATTTATCATCATTATCATTATCATCATCAGAATCAGAATCTACTATTATCATTCCTCAAGACAAATCAAAAGTTAAAAAACCAAAACAGAAAAAAATTATTGATTACTTTGCTGATTCGGATTTTGAAGATTTCAAAATAGTATCAAGGCCAATCAAAAAACTAGTTGATCCGAATAAAAATAAAAAACAAAATGGAAAACAGATGATGGCATATGATTTAAACACCACACCCATCTTACCTCCAAATAAAGCAATTAAACGATCAAACAGACTTGCAAAAAAATCATTTTTAAGCAAGCCATCTATAACTGAATTTACAAAATATTTGCCACCATCGCCATCACTAACAGAATCAAATAAAAGCAAGATAGGTGAACATTTTAAAATGATCATGGAAGAAAGACCTAAGAGCCATAAAAGAAATTATACTTTGTGGCAAATTCAGGCATTTGGTGGTGAAGATTGCCCATTAACTATCAATGACTACTATATTGACAGTGTAAAGAAGGTATATGCAGATTTTGAGTTTGATGTAAGTACAAAATATCATTATCTATTCATTTGTTGACTTTGTTGATTGTTGATTAAACAATTAAACAATTCTTTTCACCTGAATTTAGATTGCTCCCAATCAAAAACAAAAAATACTTTGAATGATGATAGAAAAATTTTTTTTGAAGGAGTTTACTCATATTGATGTATATTAAAGCAAATTTTATTTTTGTAAAGTTATCTAAAATCTTTTTTTTTTTTTTTAAATAAAAGCTATTTTTTCAATGATAATGTTGTAGTTTGGTAAATAATTTAATTTAATGATTAAATGAATTTCTATAATACATAGGAATTAAGAACATCCCAAATGACCTTTGAAGAATGAATGTGCGGTTTGATATGATATGTAAAATATTTAACAAATACTATTTATTTAATAATGAATATATGAAAAAAAAAAAATAAATAAATTATAAAACCATTTGTTTAAAAAATTTTTTGATTGCTTTTTTTTATCATTCACTACAATCACTATGACACTACCACCATTATAACCTTCAACACCAACATTATTATTACAATCCCTAACATTATCACTACTACCATTATTTTTTAAATGCATTGGCATAAATACTGAAGCATCACTGTTTAAATTATATTCAATTAAACTATTTGGTTGAATGTTTTTATTTGATGAATCATTATCACCATCTATTGATCTAGTAAATTGTTGATCCAGTTTATTTTGTAATTTAACCTGTTCAATTAATTTACTAAGTGGGCAGCTTGTATAGAATGCATCTAAATGGTGTTTATAATTCTTTGCTCCTGAAAGATATTCTTCTGATTTAATTATCTCTTGGTGTTTTGTTTCTGCTAATTCAATAATTTTGGTTAGTTCTTCTTCCTCAGACATAAAATAATATTTTTGGAAAAAATCATAAAGTTCACTAGCAGTTGGTCTATTTTCTGAATTGAATCCCAGCATTTTTTCATCAATTCAGCATAGAATTCAGGAGTGTCTTTGGTGACTTTAGGTCTTGTTCCTCCCATAATATCCATTATCAGATGATGATCATGTGGCACATTGTAAAAAGGTTTTTTACCAGCGGTGAATTCCCACATAATCATTCCAAAACTATAAATGTCTGATTCTTTTGTATATTGTTTACCTAATAATACTTCAGGTGCCAGGTATGGGATGACTCCAAAGATCTCATTTGAATTCTCATTTTTCTTCATTATTTGTTGACATAATCCTAAATCTCCTATTACACCATAACCTAGATTGTATAAAAAAATATTACCACTGTGCAAATCATGATGAATATAATTTTTACCATGAATTACCATTAATCTAATTTATTTTAATAATAGTAATAAATGTATAAAGTTAATTTTATAAAAAGAAAATACAACTTAATAATAAAATTTAAAACTTACCCTCTTGAAACCCAATAAAGTAAATCAATTTTATCTCTCCAAGTAATTTTCTTGAAATTTTTTGATAAATAATTATGTAAATCTCCATTTTTAGCATATTTAAATACCAACATATATTCATTTGTGCTTGGATTTTTTGTAATTCCAAAGCATTCATTGACAAAAATACCCATTTCAATATTTGCTTCTAACTAAAATTATCAATAATTATAAATATAATTAATATTATTTATTATATAAGATTATATAATGGCAATTAATGTCACCTCTTTTAAAATATCCATGATTTTATCATTTGAGTTATATACTTTTTTTAATACTAAATTTCTTCCCAAACACCAAATTGCTTTATAAACTTCACTAAAGCCACCTTTAGCTAAATATTCAATATTTTTGAATTCATCAAAGGGAATCCATTTAATATGCCTAGTTTCAAATTTATAAAGAAACTTGGCTATTTCTTTATTTCCACAATCAGCTGCTAAGTTCTTCAATTCCTTTCCTTTACAATTATTGCATAATACAACTCTATTCAATTTTTCATCTATGTAAATTAAAACTTTAGATGATTCATTAATTAATTTTAAACTTTTTTTATAATTTTTTTTTCCTAATCTATTTGAAAGTTTTTTTAATAAATTAATTGATTTAGTAAATAAATCAATAAGATCATTATGATTATCAATAAAACCATCACCAACTTTTAGCCAAAATTTACTAAATTTACTCTGTGTCTTAATTCTCTTAATTTGCATTATTTCTTTATTACAATCAGTACAATTTTCTATTAATTTTAAAGTTGCAAGTAAATTCATTTATAATATTATTAATTCCAAATAATTTATGACCATATAATAAATCTTTACGACTTGGATAAATTGATTCAATCAATAGTTTTAATTCATTCACCAATTTAGTTGCCTCCATCTTTAAATAATCCCTATATGAGAAATATTATGTAACACCAAATGTTTAAATGATTTAACCAAAACAATTTGTATCACACGTGATTATAAAAATATTAACACTATTTTATGACTTAATTTTATTGATAATATCATTACTACCATCACCATCACCAGTTATACTGATAATTTCAATAATGAAATGACAAAACTAAAGATTTTGGATTTGTGGACAGGTGATTGTAATAATATATTAATGACAATGACTTATTATGTTCATTAATTAAATCATGATTGATTGATTAGACTCAATTGAAAGTTGGAATGTTTCCACAAATGAAAATTATCCAATTAATTGTCAAAATTTAATCAATTATAGCGACAACATCTAATTTTTTTGTGTTGTCTCTCTTTATTACTGGATGCCTTTACAAACTCCGTGTGGGGACGATGGAAAGAAATTTTTGTATCACATTATTACAACTTAGTTGGTAAGGATGAATAAAAGTTTAAAGGAAAATCTAAAATCCAAAAATCTAGTTTATTATTTAAATTCCAACAAATAAATGTTTCTATATACTATAATATCACGTTAATGTTTTAAAGAATAACCCATTACAAATCCGGATGAAAAAAGAATTTTGAAATTAAGATTTGCGATTTTGAAAAATTTTACTAAGCAAAGTGGGTATCCAAAGATACGTATAGTTCCCGGCGAAAGTAATGGCGCATGATTTTTTTACAAATAAAAATTGCAATTAATAAATTAAAAAATTACAGATATTCTTAAGCCAAATAGTATGGTTACAACTTTTATTATCACATCAATATTTGATGCGGGCACCTTCAGCATCAATACATGCCTGAACACGATTTTGCATGCTGTTGATGCTGTTAACTATTGTATTTTTTCAAGAGCTTCCCATTCCTCCATAATTATGTTAATAACTTTTTTTTGAGAAACAGTTTTTTTGTGGTGCCATTTTTTTTTATACATTTTTCAATATTATGCTTCAAAACAGTCCAGATGTTCTCAATAGGATTGAGATCTGGACTGTATGAATGCCAAGCGAGAACATATCCTGGATGCAGGCATTCAGATCATTCTGGACATACCTAGAGGTATGTTTAGGGTAATTATCTTGTTGAAAGACTCAACAACCACATACTAATGCATCAGCATTATCGTAAAGTTGATCATTTAGAATTTACGGTATAGTTGGCGGTCAAGGTTTTCAGTAAAGACATGAATACCAATCTTCCTCTTAAAATTGATCGTACCCAAATATGAGCTTTAAACGGATGCTTTACCATAGGTTGGACGGTTTTTTTTTCATGAGATCATGCCAACATAGTGCTACGGAACATTTGGATAGTTGTCTCGTCTGAAAAAAACAACCTTTTTCCGGTTGTAAGGCACATGGTCTTTTGCCCACAACAAACGATTAGTCTTCGCTTGTGTGACAAAAGAGGACTCTTCTTGGAAGAATAATGATATAACCAAGGTTGGAAAGCTCACGGCGGATGGTCCTCTCAGTAACTTCGAGGTCTTGATATTTTTCTTGCAAAATAGCCTTCATTTCGGTGGTGGTTCTATAATAGTTACTGGTGATAATTTTCGTGGGCGATCTGATCAATGAATTTAAGGAATTTTTCCATTTTTTTAACAAAACAAGGAATCCCAGTTCTGCTTGAAATTTCTTTAGGTGTACAAATATTTTGTTTCCAGAGAAAGTTAACATTTTACAAAGTAAAATAAACAAAAAATGATAATGATGGTCATTGTTTTTTTATTTACTTTTTATGATCTAATTACATGATTTGATCATACATAATATCCAAAATTTGACAATTTATGGCATACTTGAGCCAAGTGGTTCTAATTTCGCGCCATTACTTTCGCCAGGGACTGTATCAAGGCCAATCAAAAAACCCAGCCAATCTGAATAAAATAAAAAACAGATGATAGCACGTGATTAAACACCACATCCATCTTACCTCCAAATAAAGCAATTAAACAATCAAGCAGACTTGCAAAAAATTTAAGCAAGCCACCTATAACTTAATTTGCAAAATATTTGCTACCATCACCATCACTAGCAGAATCAAATAAAAGAGATATGTAAACATTTTAAAATCATCATGGAAGAAAGATCCAAGAGCCATAAAAAAAATATTATTTTGTGGCAAATTCAGGCATTTGGTGGTGAAGATTTCCCATTAACTATCTATGACTATTATATTGATAGTGTAAAGAAGATACACCCTAGACAAAAGTTTTCGGACACCTATTTTTACTGATTGCGTAAAACTCCACATAATAATTATATATAAAATTTATATCATTGGAGGCCTAGGTTTTGGTGAATATTCATGTAAAATTTTATATTCTTAGAATGTCTAGAAATATTTTAATTAGAAGAATCCTAAATTAAACGAAAATCGCGATATCATTTTTTTGTTTCTCGAATTTACCCAAAATCCTACATAATAATAAAATAAAAATTTATGCCAATTTGTAGCTTAGATTATCTAGAATATGAACGCAAAATTTTGTGATTTTGGCTAGCATTAGTGTTGGTTGTCAAAACTATTTTGAAAAGACGAAAGTCAAAACTAAAATTAAAAATTATATGTCAAAACTAAAAAGTCAAAACTAGTTTTGACTTTCGCATGGTTGCGAAACTCTCAGTTTTGGTAGCTAGCATAAATAATTTATAATAAATTAAAAAAAAATTAGTAAATAAAATCGCATTTATAAAAATCAAATTTTTAAAAATGTAAAAATGCCAAAAAACGAAGAGGAAAAATTT